TCAAAGTGGATCCATGCTTCACCATCGGATTCATGTACTATTCTGTCAGGATTGTATCATTTGCCATTTTTGTGTCATGTCATCTGTTTCACAGATTCCTCGGTCATGTATAGCCGTTGGATCCTCGGTATGAACGGAAGGTGTCGTAGGATTGTCACGGGAATGTCAAGCTGCCTCTTCTGGCCATCACCAGAATCTACCTCCAGGAATCTAGAGGATTTACACTTTGGACAATACTTTGCTTCCACGTATTCTTTCCTAAATAGGACGCACCCTTTTGGGCAAGCATGTATCTGCTCATAAGGCATCTTAAGTGCACGAAGGAGTTTCGGTGACTCATGCATGCTCTTTGGCAGAAGGTGACCCTTCGGAAGCAGGCTACCAATAACTGTCAACATACCATCGAAGGCGTCTCGACTCAGGCTATACTGGGACTTTAACGCCATTATGCGTCTAATGGCATCCAGTTGAGAAACCTTTGTCTGGCCGTGAAGGGGTTTCTGTGCCGCGGCAAACATGTCGTAGAACGCCTTTGCGGTTGCCTCTGGCTCCTCCTCCGTATGTCCTTCAGTGAACTATGCCTCGTGATAGTCATTTAACATGTCTGCTACCCCGGCGTCAGCATCATAATCCTCGACACGTGGTCTCACCACCTTCTCTCTCATACGATCGGCTTCACCATGGTAGACCCACCAGGTATAGTCTGCCATAAATTCATTCTTCCAAAGATGTTCCCCCATGACCTTCTTCGTTTGTCTTTTCCTATTTGCACATTTGCTGCAGGGACAACAAATTTTATTCACTCCTTTAGCAGCCACGCTAAATGTCCGTTCCAAGAAAGCATCGGTCTTGTCGATCCATTCATTGGTGACCTGACCCTGACTTGCGCGGCCCGTGTACATCCACTCACGGTCCTCCATCCTCTAACATATATAGCGGCGAGTAATATAAACATCAATTGCATCTACACGACATTCCTACTATCTAATAGGTGAGGATAGGTCCTAATCCTACACGAGGATCCGTAGATGAGGTTAGTTTCCATGCTCTACTCCTATCCGAGATAGAATTTCGGCAGCACCTCCCCACTGTTCTCCAAATACACGTCCTGTCAGGGAGAGTGTGTATCCGGAGAACAACAGGGAGATGATGCCGAAACTGTGTCTCGGATCGGAGCAGACCATGGAAACTAACCCCACATACTCATCCGTGGGTTGTCTAAAAAACATGGACAATTCGAAACAGATACGGTTTTAGATATAGAAATATCTGCATATTTTCAACCGTATCTCTTTCGAACGAGAGACACCTAACTGGGTTACGTGATCTACGACCATAATACGGAAAGAGGGGTTATACCTAAGGTGGCGGTGGAGTCAGGCTAGCAGGGCCGTGGCAGGTCAGTGTAGTGGCGAGGCAACGCGGTGCAGGCAGGCCCGCAGCGACGAGGAAGGCGATCGGGGTCGCCGAGGTACTCTGGCTCCGCTCCGACGGGCTCTTCTCTGCAAAAAGAAACATAAAACTGTCAATACAAAATTTTGGCAGCACCTCCCCTGCACGGTGAGGTTTCCAAAACCTGCAAAAAACCAACGGCACGATGGCCGACATGCACAAGATTATGTAAGGAACACCTAACAACGTAATCAGGATAAGCAAGGATCAGGGATTACAAATTCAGGATATGTATCCCATTACTAATATATGTACACGAAGGAACACCTAGCAATGTAACAAATGCTACTGAAATCTTGAAAAGAGTGAGGTAGTGTCTAATATTTCTCCAACACATATAAGTAAGAATGTATGAGTTAGTTTAGTGACCTTTGGGAAGTTATACATTGTTCAATACACAAGGGAAATCAATGTCCCTAATTTTTATCATTTATTTCTAGGAGACAAATATACATAGGAATGTACAGTAACCCTAACCCTAGATCCCTAAATTACAAAACCTAACTAAGACATCTTAATATATTCATGCATCTACATCCATCAGTGAGAGATTCATAGGGGGCTCACCACCGCAGAATGGCGGCACAACATGATGAGCAAGGTGACCATTCAGCTTTCGGAGAGCTAGCTGCGGAGCGCCATTGCTGCAGAGGACTACGCCACCATGACCGAGATGGCGGATCTGGGCCACGCCACTGCTGAGGGCCGTGCTGCATCCAGTGGCGTTCTTGCCTTGGCCACCAGCTGAAGAGCATCTTGGCTGAAGCGCCGTTGCTTCCCAGCTGCCTTCTTCTTCCTCCCCTCCTTCTCTTCCTCCTTCTTCCTCCTCTCCTCCTCCTCCTCCTCTCTCTCTCTCCTCCTCGTGGCCTTGCACTTGAAGGCGGCGGCTGCCGGCCTTGCACGCGTGGGCGGGGTGGCGTGTGGCGGGCGCCGGATGCGCGCGTGCGTGTGTGTGCGTGTGTGCGGTGTGTGTGGGCCGGCTGGGCCGGCGGGGTTAAATCCCCCCTTTGCCGAGTGCCCCCGATCTGGCACTCGGCAAACTATTTTTTTTTATTTTTTTTATTCTCTATCGAGTGCCATCTGGCCTGGCACTCGGTAAAGAGTTTTTTTTTAAAAAAAATTCTTTGCCGAGTGCCACCTATCTGGCACTCGGCAAAGTATTTTTTAATTTTTTTAAATTCTTTGCCGAGTGCCACCCGGCCTGGCACTCGGCAAAGGGGTTTTAAAAAAAAATTAAAATTCTTTGCCGAGTGCCATACGTCCTGGCACTCAGCAAAGAGGCTCCTTTGCCGAGCGCCAAACTCAGACACTCGGCAAATCATATTTTTTCACTTTTGACCTCCAAACTTTTTCTGTAGTCCTAATATAATACCTGGTACTCTACGTTCCAATGTGGCATATTTCTTGGATTTTTTAATATTTCTTTAATTTATTTCATTTAATTGAATTTCTTGGATAATTCAAATTATAACCGCTAGTCATTCGAATAATGAAAAAAAATGAATGGAAAAATGATATTCATGTTATTTAGTATAATATGAGGCCGTATCCAGGAGCAGACCATCAATTTCGAACATCTTGTTCACGAAACATGACCACGAACTTACGGTCGAGTTGTTTTTAAATTCTATAAAAAGCAAACGAAGTCCAAAAATCATGAAACTTATCAAAATGTCATGATATCATATGTGGAGGCTGTGATAAAAATTTGAGGAGGTTTCGCTCAAGTTGTCATGTACGATGCTTGCCACCTCGTCGGCCTCTTCACAAAATCATAAAACTTCTTTGGAGATTCTTCGGTTACAAGCATCGTACGTGACAACTTGCGCGAAACCTTCTCAAATTTTTATCACAGCCTCCACATATGATATCATGACATCTTGACAAGTTTCATGATTTTCGGACTTCGTTTGCTTTTTATAGAATTTAAAACAACTCGACCGCAAGTTCGTGGTCATGTTTCGTGAACAAGATGTTCGAAATTGGTGGTCTGTTTCTGGATACGGCCTCACATTATACTAAATAACATGAATATCATTTTTCCATTCATTTTTTCATTATTCGAATCACTAGCAATTATAATTTGAATTATCCAAGAAAATTCAATTAAATGAAATAAATTAAAGAAATATAGAAAAAGTCCAAGAAATGTGCCACATTAGAACATGGAGTACCAGGTATTGTATGAGGACCCGAGAAAAAGTTTGGAGGTCAAAAATGAAAAAAAATATGGTTTGCCGAGTGTAAAAAAAATGACACTCGGCAAATCACCATTTTGCCGAGTGTCAGCAGAAGACACTCGGCAAAGGGTTAACGGCGGCTGTCGGCCGTTAACGGCGGCGGCCCTTTGCCGCTCGGCAAACCTGGTCTTTGCCGAGTGTTATTCTCGGCACTCGGCAAACCACCTCTTTGCCGAGTGCCATTTGTTTGCCGAGTGCTTTTTCTCTGGCACTCAGCAAACCACCTCTTTGCCGAGTGCCATTTGTTTGCCGAGTGCTTTTTCTCTGGCACTCAGCAAATAGCCTCTTTGCCGAGCGCCCGATAAAAAGCACTCGACAAAGAAGCCGTCTCCGGTAGTGGATGCGGCTGTTATTTAATGTAGCATGTGGTCACTCTGGATGACCAGGAATAAGCAGCGGCATGGGGAGGCAGTTTGGCCGATGCGCGTGATGGTGCAATGGGTGATAGACCTAGCATTTGATCTCTGGCAGATTGCTCATCCCCCAAAAGACCTCCATGCAGCAACACGAGGGAAACATCAATGGAGGAGACCAGAACCTGGGTGGATCAAATGCAACGTGGATGCACCCTTCTACGACAGAGATCGAACATGTGCGTCAGGAGTCGTTCTACGTGATCATGGTGGCAGAACCTGTGGGGGGACGGCCAAATGGTATGAACATTCCTTGAATGCCTTAACCTCGGAAGCGAGGGCGTGCCTGGACGGCTTGCTGTATGCGCAAGGAAGGGGAGTTCGCAGGCTAATTCTGGAAACAGATTGCCAGGTCTTGGTGAACCTATGGGAAAACCGCTCAACACAAAGATCAGAGGTAGATCCTCTTCTGTACCCGTTGGCGGATCTCAGCCGGAGCTTTGATGATTTCATTTTATGTTTTGCTAGTAGATCCTGTAATAGGCTAGCTCATGAGTGTGCTAAGTTGGTTTCTCGTGATAACCCGGTGGTTGAGTGGCATATAACTCCACCGGGATTACGAGTTATCGCTGATGCTGATTGTAATACCGCTCATGGCTAATATAAAGCTCCGGTTATGCTAAAAAAAACTTATTACTATCATTGGTATAAACTACTCCCAACTTGAGCAGCACTTGCATCTTTTCAAAACCAAAACTGGACCTCTTCTCAAAATTCAACAACTGCAAACTCAGCATGTATACATCCTGTTCTACGCATGTTAAGCATGAGGAACTGAACATATGCTATGAAGTATGAACAACTCCATGCATGCACCTTTGTACACATGTATGTACACGATCGATCGACTCACCACCAGCACCACCAGGCGCGCGCTCGATCGTTTTCTAGCTCCCTACCGTCTGCACCGGTGGCCTCCGGCGGCGACGACCCGGCGGAACTCGGCAGCGGCGCAGGGGATCCGGAGCACGCCCTTCTGGTCGAAGCCGAACTCCCGCTGCGCAGCCTCCAGCAGCGCCCGCACGCAGGGCTGCGCCAGCGCGCGCACGTCCACGACCACCCGCTCCGGCTCCTCGCCCCCGCCCACCAGCACCGCCACGCAGCCCGGCGGCACGCACCCCGCCGCGCAGCCGCCGCCCGCGGCGGCCGGGATCAGCCGCTCCCGCATCTCGTCCCTGCCACTGCAGCTGCCGCCTCGCCCAGAGGTCTTCCGCTTCCAGATCATGCCGCAGGGGCGACGCACAACGGAGGCCGATCAGAGGAGCGCCGCGCTGGGATCTTTTGACGGGTAGGGGTAGTGCAAGCAGCTGAAAGTGTCAATCGACGACAGTGTGCGTGATTGCTTCGCTTCAAGAGTTGGGCCTATATATATATATACACAGCGGAGCGGAGGGCGAGCGGTCAACGTGCGATGCGAGTGCGAGGCGATAGGGGAATGCATGTCAGATGATTGGGACATCACGATCGATCGTGTTCGTGTCGTGCCATCTTGACCCGCGTTTCGTTGACGGAGAAAACGCGGGTCTTTGAACGAACGAACGGCCCTAGCCAGTTGCACTGCAACGGACCCAGTTTTTATACGGTTTACCCTGTTTCCGTGCGAGTGCGGCGGGGCTACGCTACGCATGTGGAGGATCATCAAAAGCGATTGGAAAGGGGGATACTTTCACAATCCAGACAGACCCGGCGGGTATGCGGATCGATTTTAAAAAATTTCCAAACACCTAGCTTCATATTACAAAATTAGCCGCCGCTGACGACCTGGTCCAGTCCAGATTCATCCCGGCCTTCGGCCTATCAGCAGAACATACGTGGCAACGCAATTTGATTGTTGCCTCGCCCCACAGTACACACTAGCATTCTATTTGCAAAGGATCCAAGTTGCGAACGTGCATCATTTTGGGTTCATCACTCATCAGTCGTCAGACGAGATGGCGTGTGGCGAAATATTAGTATCCCAAATTCTTACTGGATCGGGAAGCCAAATTATCTAAAGAAGAAATAGCCCATGAAAATATAGATGATTTAATAGCTTAAACTCTAAGTAAATTAAAGGAAAATAGTTCTGTTAAATTTTCTCATTGATTAATTAAGAAACAAAATAGATAATCCATCACAAATGTAAGAATTAAATAGATAAATTTTGAGTACAAGTAATGGGAAAAAATGTTCTTGATTTCTACTCCCTCCATTCTAAATTACAAGTCGCTTTGACTTTTTGGTTCATCCATTTTGCTATGTATCTAAACATAATCCGTGTTCGTTTCCCTGAAATTTGACTTATGCTGATTTGTTGTGAGAAGAAAATACTGTTCATTCGTTGAAAAGTACTGCTAAAGTAGAACTGCAAGAACATAGCCTTATATCTAGATGCATAGCAAAATGAATGTACAAGAAAGTCAAAGTGAGTGTACTTGATTGGAAGAAGGTATGTACCTAAAGTAACGTGGGAGTTAAATATAACTGATTAATACCTAAAATTTAGGATAAAAAAGAGGAAATTGTATTCCGATTTCCACATGAAATAAAACAAATCCATGTAAGAATCTAGAAAGCTACAATTCATAATCATAAGAACTGAAATAAGGTTTAAAAATGAAAAGGTACACATAAATAATTATTGAAAATTTAATTCAAAGTAATAACTAACAAATTTAATACCATGTTAACGAATGAGTTTGTGACATGGATTCTAGTTGTAACAGTGAAGATGAAACAAAATTGTATACGAGTACAGATACAGCTCATGGTTAGTCAAGTGTATACTGATCGAACAATCAATCTCCGTAGACTCCTATTTGGAAATCAATTTTCCATCTAAAACAAAACGTTAACGTTTGTGCATTTAAGGGAAAAGAAAATTACTGTTAGCAAAGAGGGGAGGAGATAAAATGAACATTAAAAATTTTAAATACATTGTTTAAATAAAATGTTTCACGTCATAATGTTGAGTTCAATAGACTCCATAATATGTAGTTGTTTTAAAAACTGCACACTATAACTAGCTATCAGCAAGAACAATTACAGAATAATGAATCATGCTATTATGTTTGGAGCATATATTGTATATATTCCTGGTTTATGACTTGTACAACTGAAGTGTACCTGCAAAGTTTAAATAAACATATACTCACATATAATTCCTATGAGATAAACTATATGCATTTTTCCCTAAAAAAAACTGTGTGCATCCTTTTTGTGGGCAAGGGTAGTTCCGACGACTAGATCAGAAAGAGCACAAAAACGAATAAGGCCTAGCAATGGGCCCAGATTTCTTGCCTACAAATCTTAAGGGCTGGGTCAAAAAAGAGTGAGACTGAATTTACATATGGTTCTTTTCCAGCTAAAACTAATTAAGGGCTGGTTTGGATCGTAAAACAGATCATGGCCCCGCCTATTCCTAACTAATGATTTGTCGTGCATAATGAAACTGTAGAAAACTCCGTTTGATTTAGGGCATGTTTGGTATAATTCTACTCATCATTCTTAGATCTAGCTTCTTGATTTTCTTATGGAGTAAGGTGAATAGCTTCTTGATTTGGTATAATTCTACTCATCATTCTTAGTTGTGATGGAGGAACAGAGAAACTTTCTTTTTAGCTTCCAGTATAAATGAAGAAACAATTTCTCATTACTGCCATAATCTATGTAATTTTTTATTGTTTAGCTAAACAAGAGTGATTTTTTACAGACAATGTGCTACGAGAAGCACGGCCCGTTCAAGCTTTCACGGCGACCCTTCAAAAATTCGAGAGCCGCCATTGATTCAATGTTGGCTAGTTTGAGGCTGCCTTATTCAATGATTGAATCCAAAATCTTTTTTTTTTTAATTTAAAGACAACACGTATGTCTGAACATATCCACCTTGAGAAAAAGGTGTCAAGCAAGATCTTTCATCACGAAAGCATGGAAGATGTACGTACTTGGACCGTGCGAACATGCATAGAGAAAATCCTTTTCATCTCGTTTTGGAGTTGAGCTGTTTTTACGACCAATGGTAAGCAAAGACCTCTAGAAAACAAGGCACAGTGTGTTATCACTTAAAAAATGAAGAAAAAAAATGTATATAGAAACTCTGAAATGGACAGCCAATCTCGAGTAAATAGCTGGCTAGTTGAGAGCACTGCTACGTACTGTGCTGCATGTAGCGGCCAGTTGACACATTTGTGAGTGTCCAAGCGTGGATCTCCTTATCGCCCCTTTGAAATCCCTCGCAAGTGCAGGCCGGGATAATTGACTCAAACACGCGCAGGAGATTAGCGTGCAGTGAGGACCGTGAACTGAAAGGATGGACCCTTGTCAGCAATGGAGGCAGACAGGCACGATGCTTTTCCAACAGGATGATGACTTGTTAAATGAGTGAAAACAACCACTCCCTCCGATTCAAACAAGAATGCAACGCTCTTTTAATTTTAACTAAATTTATAAAAATGTTTTCAATATTGATTGATATATCAAATAAGTATCATTAGATTTATCATCAAATATATTTTATAGTATATCTATTTGGAATCATAAATATTGATACTAATTATCATAAACTTAGCAAACTTAAGTTGTTTGATTTAGGCTAGACTAGAATTACATTCTTTTTTTTATGGGATCTATTACCATCTTTATCCAAAAAAGGAAACCATGCTGGCTGATAAGTCAGCTTATGCTGTTTTGTTGTGATAGAAAAAATAATGTACCATGACTGATAAGCCGCACTGATAAGTTTAAGCGAACAGTTGAACAATTCATCACAACAGATAGTCTCGAGAAAGGTGCTTTGCTGCAATTTCTTATCAGAATATAGGTTTTGCCAAAGTCATCTGCCACTTGCCCACTTCTTCACCCAAAATCTATAGTGCTTTTTTTTCTTGTCACGTTTCATTTCTGGTTTGGGGACTATATAAAAACATAAATTTACCTTTAGCAAAGAAAGACATTGGGCTCGAGCCCAGCCCAAACTGATGGGATCGGTTGACACCAACAGAGGCAACCTGGCCCAGTAGCCCTTTCGCTTGTGCGGGGCGTCTTGTTCCCGCAGGCCGCAGCCCTAGGCCCAGGGGCATTTTCGTCCGAGTGAGCCAAACACTCCCACTCGCAGCCGCTTATAAATCCACTCCCTAGGGTTTACCCGCTCCGCCTCCGCCCAGCCAGCGACGCCGCCGCCCGCGCTCCCCTCAGGTAACCAAGCAACGCCCCTTCACTTCGTCTCGATTTCGCGTTGTTTGTCTGCCATTTCATTGCCCGAATCCGTGCAACCCGCTTAGGCCTTCTTCAGATTCTGGAAATTGCCGTGCCCTGATCGTGGATCTAATTGTTTTATCGGTGTTGATTCCTGCAGGTAAGGAAGGAGGCCGGCGAGGATGTCGCACCGTAAATTCGAGCACCCGAGGCACGGGTCCCTCGGCTTCCTACCCAGGAAGCGATCTTCCCGCCACCGCGGAAAGGGTACGTGTTGCAGCACCGATTCATTTGACTAGTTACCTTTTGCCCATCGCTTGCCGCTGCTGATCTGCCTAGTTAGCAACGGGCTGCGCGTTCACTGGTTGTGCAGTTTCTGTAATAGCTGCTAGAGTGGTCTTAGTAGCCCAACTCGTGCGTTTGCTGTGTGCTAGCACTCTCTGGATTGTAAATGATTGGTAGTTTTCGGACATTTCTTGTGCAATAGACTGGCTGACGTACAGTTTTGTAAGTGCATGATTGATCTTGCTGATTTACATTGTCTGGTACTGTGGTTGTTTGTGTGCTCCAAACATTAAAATCGGGGGTTGAAGTTTTGTCAAGTTTGCATCCCAATGTTGAAACACTAAATTATGAAGCTGTTCATAAGTTATTGTCACAAGTGGTTCCAATTTTAATTTTACACATACATATATTTCCAGTTTAGTGGAGTACTCTGCATTTGTGCAACTCAGTGAATGGGCACACTAACCCATCGTATACGTATCTGATGTGCTTATTTCCCCATCGTATACGTATCTGATGTGCTTATTTCCGTTTTTTTTTTCCTGCAGTGAAGTCCTTCCCGAGGGATGACCCAAAGAAGCCCTGCCACCTCACTGCCTTCGTTGGCTACAAGGCTGGAATGACACACATTGTGCGTGAGGTCGAGAAGCCTGGCTCCAGTAAGTTCAATCATTGTCATAGGGTGCAATGTTTACAGCATGTTCTCTATTGAGGAGACAATTACTGTTGCTTTTGTGGCTAATATAAATAGGCAACAACAAGATTAAG